TCTCCTTTGAGCTTTTTGTTTGTTTGTTTTGCTTGATCTTTAAAAGTGAGGAACACATATCATTGAAATAAATGTAAAATAGTAATTACTTTTCTGATTTGTATGGTTCATTTTCCTAAAATGGTCACCTGATCTGTGCTTCTCTTATTTCCCTGACACTCACCAATCTCAGATTCTGACTCAAATACCCTCACCAGTCCTCTTCAGCCTCTGACCCTCCTTTCTCTGGCTGTGCTTCAGTTTTTAGAGGAACACTACGCTTCAACATGAGAGAACTGTCCTTTGTCATACCTCCCCACAGTCGACAGGCAAGGTAATGCGGGCCTCCCAAGAACGTGGAAAGTGTAGATAAGAAAAACAGCAGGTCTGGGGTCTTTTAACTGGAGGTGTGAATGGAAACTACTGACGCTGGGAATCCCAACTGTGCTGTTGTTACACATCAGTGGTGACACACCAACACACACAAACTGGATTTACTGGACGTGAATCCCAACTGTGGGAATCCCAACTGTGCTGTTGTTACACATCAGTGGTGACACACCAACACACACAAACTGGATTTACTGGACGTGAAGGCAGTTATACCACTAAGACCTCTTGCAATACCTAGACAGGTTCTTTCTTTTCTTCTTTCTTTCTTTTCTTTCTTTCCTTTCTTTCTTTCTCTTCTTTTCTTCCTTCCTTCCTTTTCTCTTTCTTTCCTTCTTTCTTTTCTTTCTTTCCTTCTTTCTTCCTTTTTCTTTCTTTCTCTCTTTCCTTCCTTCTTCCCTCCCTCCCTCCCTCCCTTCCTTCTTATCTATCCATACATCCTTCTCTCTCTCTTTCTATTTCTCTCACTCTCCCACACACACACTCTCTCCTTCTCTTTCGCTCTCTGCCCTCCCCCCACCTTAAAAGAAACCCTTCCTCCCCTTAAAGGAAAGTCAAATAAACAAAGTCTATTAGGTGACTTGGAGGAAGAAGGAGGGAGGGTGTTTGGGTTGAGGGAGGGAAGATGGAAGAGCAGTTAGGAGCATAGGGCAGCTGCATCCACATTTGTAATTGGATACAGTCTGCTCTACCACAGAACTCCAAGAATGCATTCCAGGCATGACAAGCTTATCTGACAACTCAGAACAAGGTAGCTGTTCACGTTTTTTGTTTTTTCCATAGCAAAAGTCAGTGGTCTTGTTTGGTATGGGTCCTCCTCCTCCTGCCTCTTCCTGTCCTCTATCTTTTAAAAGGTGTATCAGAGCAAAAGCTGCAGAAATCAAATTTTACCAGTTCAATAGATCACGGTTCATCAGGTACCACACAGACCAAGCTAAACAAGTAACATATTAAAAAAAAGTCAGATCCTGAAAGGTAAGGTATTTTATAAGTTATCGATACATATATGCAATGTTTCAGGAGTTTGATTTTAGCTTCTAATTTAAGCTTTCACTTTTTTGACAAGTGAGACAACAGACACAGTCAGCTTCTATGTAATATACCAGCAGTCATGACCCTTCCTAGAAACAGCAGCTCAAAAAGACTAAGAAATCAAATTTCATGACTGAAAAATAAAGTTGTTATCCTGGGTCATAATTATTCAAAATGTGCTATGCCAAATAACAGTCTCACAGGGCTGTCTGTGGGAGAAAAAGCAGGTCCTCCCAGACCGGTCCCCTTGGGAAATACTGCTCCTATATTCCCTCTTGAAGACACAGCGTAATATGTATTGGCACATTGAAGGTTCTGAGAGGTCCTGCGGTTAAAACAAGCAAACGACGATAAAAGCCAAATGGGTTAACTTTGTTCAACCCGTTCCAAACCTTTCTGACTATGGTATCTATTCTCTGAGGTAATACTTCGACATTCCTTCAGCCTGATGATCCAGTCTACCTTGAAAGCTCAATTATCCTATAAATGCATGAAATGAACTGAACTCTTAACCTTTAAAGGCTGGTTTATCTGTCACACAGATAAGAGCCTAACACACACAGGCACCATTCCTTGGCTGTGAATCAGGCTCACAACAGCCAGTAGTAACATTTGGATACCCTTTGCTTAAAGTTTCATGTCTAGACTTGAGAAGTCTAGAGAATCACGATACACCATGATTGTTGCATAAAAACCATAAGCAATGTTCAGAGACTGGGAACGTGCTTCCCTATTTGACCCAATCTTCCCTAAAAGTCCCTCCCTGGTCTCTCATGATCACTTATCGTCCTCCAAACCCAACTTCCCCACTCCCCTTCCTCCTTGCTTTCTGTACTTTACTACGCAGACTCGATGCTTCCCATTTCAGTCTGAAATTATGCTTAAGAGAAAACATCTGCATAGGAAGTCCAACATCATTTGGAGGAAAGAAGTACCACCCCGGGGAATGAAATTCTCGGTTAACTGGACAAAGTGCTCAAAGAAATCTTGGGGAAAAGATCTCAGAAATTACTCACACAACTGTTGTGCAGGACTACCTTAAACACGTATCTCCTCTCAATGTGCACTATATTTACCCAAGTACACAAGAAATGGGATCAACATTTAGTATTCATTTAACAGATGTTTATTCATCACTTACTATTGGTTAGGCACAATTCTAGGCATTGGAGATAAAGCAGTGAAGAAAGTCGAAAACACTACACTAGAAACAACACCACAGAACAGACTAGCAAATTCAGTAATACCAATCCATATGATGACTTTGGGGAAAACAATTTCTAAATGGAAGAAGGCTGACTTTAAGAATTCAGAACCGGGCTTCCCAGGTGGCACAGTGGTTGAGAGTCTGCCTGCCGATGCAGGGGACACAGGTTCGTGCCCCGGTCCGGGAAGATCCCACACGCTGCGGAGAGGCTGGGCCCGTGAGCCATGGCCGTTGAGCCTGCGCGTCCGGAGCCTGTGCTCCGCAACGGGAGAGGCCACAACAGGGAGAGGCCCACATACCACACACACAAAAAAAGAATTCAGAACCATCTTACAAGGTACAAGGAGAGTTTCTGCATCCATGAGGACGTGGGAAAGGCAACAGATATTTATTTTCTATCTATCATTTCTCAGGCATCATGCTAGATACTTTTATAAATGTTACATTTTTTAATTCTCAGGACTATCCTTTGACTTAGGTCCTAAGCTTTATATTACAGTTAGAAAAATGAGACAGAGCTAGTGGTCAAACTTTTGTAATCTACCTGACTCCAAATCCATACCTTTTATACAAGAATAGTGAGGTTAGACCTGAAACTGAATTCATGGCTACCTCAAAGTTACATTTCTAATGTGACCTCATGATGACAGAGAAAAGATATCTCAAAGTACAGTGAGGTAGAAGAGTAAATATCAACATCACATCAAAAAATTATCTTCATGGGGCTTCCCTGGTGGCGCAGTGGTTGGGAGTCCGCCTGCCGATGCAGGGGACGCGGGTTCGTGCCCCGGTCCGGGAGGATCCCACATGCCGCGGAGCAGCTGGGCCCGTGAGCCATGGCCACTGAGCCTGCGCGTCCGGAGCCTGTGCTCCACAACGGGAGAGGCCACAACAGTGAGAGGCCCGCGTACCGCAAAAAAAAAAAAAAAAATTATCTTCACAAATTTGTTGAACTCACACCTCCCAATTTTAAAACTAACTACAAAGCTACAGGAATCAAGACAGTGTTTACTGGCAGAAAGATAAACATATAGCTAAAAGGAGGGAAGTAAGAATGCAGAAATTAAACTCTCACTCTTATGGTCAATTCATTTTGACAAAGGTACCAAGACGATTCAGTGGGGGAAAGAAGAGTCTTTTCAACAAATGGTGCTGGGAAAAGGAGATATTCACATGCAAAAGGAGGAAGTTGGACCCTACTTCATACTACATACAAAAATTCACCCAAAATTGACCAAAGTCCTAAATGTAAAAGCTAAGACTATAAAACCTTTAAAAGAAAACACAGGGGTAAATTTTCCTGATCTTGGATTAGGTCAGAGTCTCAGATATGACACCTAAAGCAAAAGCAACAAAGAAAAAAAAAATAGTAAGTTGGACTTTATTACAATTAAAAACTTCATGCTTCAAAGGATAAAATTAAGAGAATGAAAAGACAAGCCAAGAACAGGAGAAAATACTTGCAAATCATATAGTTGATATGGGTCTATTATTTAGAGTATAGAAATAATTCTTACAACCCAACAATGAAAAACTAACCCAATTTTTTAAGCGGGCAAAGAGCTTGAATAGACATTTCTCCAAGGAAGACACACAGGTGGTCAATAAGCAGATGAAAAAACATGCTTAACATCATTAACCATGAAAGAAATGCAAACCAAAATTACAAAAAAAAAAAAAAGAGAACCGCCTGGAGGGGTGGGATAGGGAGGGTGGGAGGGAGGGAGACTCAAGAGGGAGGAGATATGGGAACATATGTATATGCATAACTGATTCACTTTGTTATAAAGGAGAAACTAACACACCATTGTAAAGCAGTTATACTCCAATAAAAAAATAAATTTAAAAAAAAAGAGAGAGAAGCAAACAAAAAGGCAGACAATAACAGTGGTTAGCAAGGATGTTGAGAAATTGAAACTTTCATGCTCTTTGGTGGCTATGTATACTTTGAAAAACAGTCTGTCAGTTCCTCAAAATATTAAACGCAGTTACCGTATGAGGCAGCAATACCACTCCTAGGTATATACCCAAGAAACTTGAAGATGTATGTCCACACAAAAACTTGCACAAGAATATTCACAGCAGCAGAATTCATAATAGTTAAAAGGTAGAAAAACCCCCATATCTATCAACCGATAAATGGATAAACAAAAATAAAATATCTATATGGCATGGACTGATTGATTGTGTAGTCCCAGAATTCATATATTGAAGCCTAATCCCCAATGTGATGGTATTTGGAGATGGGGCCACTGGGAGGTAATTAAGTCATGAGGGTGGAGCCCTCATGAATGAGATTAGTGACCTTAGGCTTGCTTCCTGTCTCTGCTCTCAGCCGCGTGAGGATACAACAAAAAGATAGCCACCTACAAACCAGGAAAGGGGTGCTTACCAGACAGCAGATCTGCAGGCACCTGGTCCTTGGACCTCCCAGCCTCTAGAACTGTAAGAAATAAATGTTTGTTGTTTAAGTCACCCAATCTATGGTAATTTCTTATAGCAGCTTGGACTAAGATACCATACAATGAAATATTATTCAGCTACAAAAGGGAATGAAACATTGAGTCAAGCTACAATGTGGGTGAACCTTGAAAACATCATGCTAGGGACTTCCCTGGTGGTCCAGTGGTTAAGACTCCGAGCTTCCAATGCAGGGGGCTCATGTTTGATCCCTGGTTGGGGAACTAAGATCCTACATGCTATGCAGTATGACCAAAAAAAAGAAAAAGAAAATATTATGCTAAGTGAAGGAAGCCAGATAAAAAAGGCCACATATTGTATGACTCCATTTACATGAAATGCCCAGAATAAGCAAATCTATAAAGACAGGAAGTAGATAAGTGTTTGCCTGGGCTTGGGATTTGTTTTGAGGATGATGGAAATGTTCTGGAACTAATTCCAGTTGCACAATTTTGTGAATGTACTAAAAAATATATCACTGACTTATATACTCTGGATTCTACATATAAGTGATATCATATGATATTTGTCTTTCTCTGTCTGGCTTACTTCACTTAGTATGATAAACTTATATACTCTAAAAGGGTGAATTTTGTGGTATGTGAATAATATATCAATAAAAAATATCTTACCCTCCTAAAAATAATCTTTGAATCAAATAGAATCTGATATTAGTTATCTATTTTCTCCCACAAAACCCACTGGCATTGAGGTGAATCTACTTTTGCTGAATCAGATATGTAACACCGGGATCTAGTCCTAAGATTCAAAAAATAAAGAACTATTCTGTGCACTGAAAGATAAATAAACTTCAATAGGAAAGTTCTGAGAACTCCACCATGACTAAAATAGCATACTCAACTGAAAACAAACAAAATTATACCAACATGGGAGCCTATAACTTCAGATTCGGCTCTATAAAGTCTTCAGAATCCATATGCTCTAGTGACCTCATGGAAAGGAAAGAATGAAATAGCAAGTCAAAGTCAACTCCAACACATGGAAACACCAATATGAATTATGTCAAGACTTGTCAATCCTGGCTGCCACATTAGTCATCCTAGAACTCACAAAGAGATTGTGGAGACTCCTCTTCTGAGAGGCTGTTGACAATCATATCCACAAATGAAACATGGGTCCTCCAAGACCTCAAAGGCTTTCTTCTATCATGGTAGGCAGTACTGGCTTAGGTCACTGATGGCCTATTTACAAGCAATCAGGGGTCTAATTAAAACCCTTACAGAATGACTAAAAGCCAAATCTGGACACGATGTTAAAATGATGACCTTCAAGCTCAAATCTGGATGTGACGTTAAACTGACCTTGAAGCTCCGAAACGGTTGGTTGATCTTTGATCTGTATGCTTGCTTTACATTTAGCAATGACTCAGGCCCACATTTAAAAAAAAGAGTTACTACATCTCTAATTCTCAGAAATACCACCATGTAGGTTAAGATAGACATGCACGTGTACACACATACTCACACAGACCAACCCATCACAAGTCAAAAGAACCACCCAAGCTAATGAAAAGCCTGCAATTCATTGTCTGCAGTCAAAAGAGCAAGATAGATGGAGCAATCACAGATAATTCCAAATTTTGAGAGGTTATATTCCCAAAAGGTAGTTATAAATCAGCTGTTTGAAACTTGAAACACATTTTCTCATAGAAATCTGTTAGCTTGTGGTCACATACCCAGGTGAGACCAGGGAGACCAATGCAATGCATGTGAAGCAGAAAGTTGATGGCACTTCCTAGAGGGGGAAAATGTCTTCCAAGTTCAACTCCTAACGTAGCTCAACAGTGGCAGTGCCCCGGCTGCAGCATGGGGAAACAGGGTGCACACTCTTGGTCTTGTCCTTCCCCAGATATCCTAAACTGGTGAACAAACAGGCCCTGGGCCACATGGGAAACCCACCCCACTCCCATTCAGACATACGAATCCTTCACAGGGGATCTCTCTGTGACTGCGAGGGCCTGTGGCTTTTTGCTGCTCTCCCAAAGTTTTAATTTCAGTAAGTGTCTGCTTATCCAGAAGTGAAAGCAAACAAGACTTCTCATTACAGAATTTTAAAAAATATTTTTTAGTTGAAATACAGCATGCATACAGAAAGTCAAATTACTGGATTTTTAAAAAAATGTATTTCATAGGGAAGATACATGAAAAGTAGTGACTTTCAGCAACTTCTCAATGTCTCTTGTGGTCTATACAAATTCTGTTTTTCATCACCCTTGTGTCCTACACCCAGCACAGAGGCTGTACATAGTGGGCACCTCAAAGACGTGTGGGATCTCTGTACCTTTAACTTCATTAGTATTGTGGATGTAATTTATTTTAAAAAATACCTTAGAATAACTTACATACACTGTGATAGTGACCTTGAGCAATCTGCCTCTTTGTGCCTCAATTTCCTTAACCAGGGAATCATTCTCGCCCAGGGAATTGTGTGGCTGAGTGACCAGAGTAGGAAGGAAATTAAATTTTCAGTGGATACCTTGGTGCCTTCAGAATGTGGTTTCACAAATACATGTCACCCATTAAACAATCGAAGAATCGGAATGCATTATGTGAGTCATCATTACAGTAAACCCCAAATGAGAACTGGGAGCGTGTAATAGCTCGAGACGCCCTCCCTAGCCCCTCTCCCGCCATCTCATTGTCCCTCCTCCAGCCCTCCTCAGGCTTACACTGAGCTACTGGCTCAAGCCCCATCCTCAGTCTGACCTCATTCTAGCCTGACCACCTGGTTCTGATTCACAGCCTTGCTGTCAACCCTGCTATTTGTGCTTCATTCTCCAGTCCTGCTTCAGAATTTCAGGTCAAGGATCTCTGTTCCTCCTCTAACAACCAGCCACACTCTCACTGACCCAGAGTTTCTTGGGTGAAAGTGATGGATCATCCTCCTTACAGAAAACCTCAGGGCTAATTCTGAATTCAAAGTTTGCTTATTACCTTAGGGTCAGTACAGAAAAGGGAGTGGGGTGGGGAAGGAAGGGTTGAGTGACAGTTTTAGAACCAGAAGAAAAAGCAAACATACAAGTGTGACCATCAGGGTACTCTGCAGTATTGCTCCACACCCCCTTCACACACACACAGTATCAGAGAGGGACCAATTAAGCCAATTGCTCACCTTAGGGACAGCAAATACATTCCTAGAAGATAGTTTCTGTCAATCGTGATAGATTATCTATCAAGAAAGGGTCTTCACTCATCTCACCTCTTTCTTTAATAGGCCCACAAAAGAACACAGGGCACACTTGCAGAAGGCAGCTCATCATGTCTGGGGGGTCAGGACTACAGTCTTAGTACAGGCACTTACAACGGGGCTCCTCTCCTCAGCACCCTTCTCTCTGAGAACCAGCCTCGCCCCGTGCCCTGCCCCTCCCTGGCCACTGGGATGACCCAAACCAAGGGCAGCCACCGCACTGACCAAGCTGAGCCAACCAGATTCTCTTTGTCCAGAATTCATAAGTAGACACAGGGATCAAGGCAGCCTCTGACGGCCACTGAACTTAAAGACAAGTGGGACCGCCGGGGACAGGGGTCGGGGGGCTGGGGGGAGGTGCTATTTTTCACCAGGTGCTGGGAAAGCAGAGATGAGAGGGAAAAAGCAGGGAAAGCAGAATGGCAGGGCCTGTAGACAGAGATGGGCAGACCAGAGACACAGAGAAAGGCAGAGCGAGACACACAGGAAGACAGACAGACAACACACATATGCAGTGAGACAGAGCTAGAAGCCAAGTAACAGATGCACAGAGAGACAAATCAGATGGGGAGGCCAGCGGGGGTGGGCGGTCTGGTGGGGAGAATGGAGGACCGGATGGATCTCTGCTGTGTCTGAGGCCCTGCCAAGTTCCAGCTGTGCCTCTAGCTTCCTGCCCAAGGGCTCTGTGAGCTACGCCTGCATCAGTCCAATAAAATCCCCCCTTTCCTGATCCAGCTTGAGATACTATTTTTCACATATGAAATAAGAAAGTAATTTTGAGTATCAAAACGCAACGAGAGGAGGGATTGGCAGATTTTGACACATATTGCTGAGAGCGGCATAAATAAATAAAAATGTTTGGGAAACCTATTTAATGACTGTTATCAAAATGCTATAAAATAGTCTTACCCTATTATGAATCTTACTCAAGATTCATAACAGGCGAGAAGTGGATACAACCTTAATGCCCAACATTAGAGGATAAGTTGAGCAAATTAGGACTAGAATATATTATTTTATACAATAAATAATATTGCTTCTAAAGATATTTGTGAAGAATATAACATGTCAATTATTCGTGTTTAAAGAAAAATACTAAATATAAAAGTGCACATTGAAAATAAAAATCACAGGAAATGCTCAAAGAGATAATAGGGGCTACATTTGGATGGCAAATCAAAGGGGGTTTTTCCCTCTCTTTTGCTTATTAATTTTCTGTAGTTTCAACGTTTTTATAATGAGAATATATTCAAGATGATATATTTAATCACTTAAAATCAAATGGTAGGGGGAGTAGTAAGAGTCTACCCCTTACACTTTTGTACTTGTTTTTCTCGAGTCGTAACTTTCCTATTACTGTAGTATCCAGTGTGGATTCCTACACAGAACTGCCAACTTGAAGAAGCAAGGTCACCCAGTTAAGCTCCTTGCTAATATTGTCACTCTGACATTAATTTCCTAACATTTCCTCAGTGCCAGCCTACCTTGTGTCAGGCTGGGTTTACCTGGTGTGGATACTCTGCTGGGCAACTTATGACTTTCTGAGTCAGCCAATTCCATTTTTAAATGTTTTGACAATGTCAAGGATCTCCAGCTTAATCAGCTGCCCCGAGGCCTATCTGAGCATTCACCAACCTGATGGTGGTCAGAAGACTGTTCCATGTCCAAAAAGATCCCCTTTCTCCCAGGATATTTAGATCTATGACTGTGCTGCTCAAGGTTCTGCTTAGGAATCAGAGTTGTCCTGTCACAAGCTGGTTGGTTGTTTCCTTTCTT